ATTTCCCAGTTCTAAGTTTGCATAGGTTATTGGGATTAAAGACCTGCCGTTCGAAGTCCCAATCGCTTGTCTATTCTAGTTGGGATCTTATTAGGACCCGTTTTCAAACTCATGGATGACAGTCCATTAATGTCGTGTTTAAAGAAAGTAATCAAAGCCTATTAGCAAGCAATCAGCTTCTTAATAAAGTGTATTTAGCACTAATGCCTGATTCACTTAAAATTAGGTTAGAACCTCTAGTATAGGATTTTACAAAGTCATACTAAATTATAACCTAAAAGTTTAAAATCGATTCTGTTAAGTGAAAAGATTGTTTAGAGGCTCAAAATAACTTTTGGCATTTATTTTATGTAAAACTCTTTCGTAAAAGTAAAACTGGTCGATAAATTTAGCAGTTCTTTGAAAGTCTACATAGTTCACTGGTATAAGCGTGCTCCTAAGTTTAAGGCTCTTCATCTGATTTTGACCTACTCAAAATTGATGGGTTCTAATGGAAATACACTTATTTCACTTCACACATCTACAAAGATAAATAAATGTCTGTGCTCGTGCAAGCTGCATACGATCATTTCATTGTGCATTTACTCCCCGAATTAATTGACCCCTTTTATTTGTTTATGTGGAGCTAATTTACCACAAGTGTTAATCAAGTTATATCCAACTCGAGAATAAACAACGGATAGTCGATGCAAAAAATGAAGTACTATCGCACAAACTAAGGGACAGTAAATACGCACAATATCATATGAAAGTATACCTACAGGCGGATTCATTATATTGTGTTAATGATTATTTTGAAGGACACTAAGAAAACAGAAGTCTATCCTTAAGTTGTCCGATTATGCCGAAATTTCAGGTTTGTTTTTAACCTACCTCTTCGGAAGACATTGGGTAGCAATCTTAAAAACCGACTGAGTAAAATATTTAAAACTTCATAATGGTTTGATGTGCACTATGTAAAATTGCATAATAAATGAATAAAGCCTCATCGTCAAGCCGATAGGTACCTTAGCATGCTCTGAAGCTACTTTCTCTTACCTGGTTAGCCGATTTTACAGAATAATAATAAAGTACTTGTTGGAGTGGCCATTGACTTGTAACACCATTGGGTTCCATACACACCATATTTATGCCTTAATGGTAGATCACCGTAAAACAGCTAACCTTAATGCCAAAATAAAGAAAAACACAGTTCTTCATGCTAGTCTATATCGCAGTTAAGAACAATAGGAAGGATTCCAGGCATGTATTTCGCAAATAATTCGCAAACTGTAGTGATTTTGCTGCTACGTAGCTCCTATACTTGAAGTAATAAACTATGGTACGAAGTCGCACTGGGTGTGTACACGCGATGTAGTTCCGATTGGTTGCAAAGCCATGGAAGAAGTTAAGGCATTCTGACTTTTCCTCAAAATAGTCCAGCAACTTCTAAGTTATGCACTTAATCTTCTCGATTAGTCTTAATGTTGGCTTGGGCCAAAAGACTTGCAAATGTTTGATCCTTTTAGCTACGACAAAACGTATTTCGCATCCCCTCGAAGAGGATTTTACTCATGCAATTATGTACTTATATATATTTTCATTTGGTTCTATGCAGTGATTTCCCACATTACTGTAAAGAATTAAATCCACATACGGTCAGGTCTTTTGGATTAAAGTGACCTTTGGTGCTGAGTTATAAAAATGAAACGGTCATTGCTCACACACTTTTAAGCTATGAGAGTATTGTGAACTCCGGTGTCATAAATTTTTATTAAATGTGTTTTTCTTCTGTAATGACAAAATTCAAGTTAGACACAAATAAACCGTGATAACTGTTCTTTTCACTGGAAACCCTAACCACCTCGTGTTTACGCGATATGTCAATCGAATCATATTTTTTTAAAGATAGATGGCATGCTTACTGGCGTATTCGATATGCGTTGGAAACTCCTACTCAATTAAACTGTTTTCATTTCGAAGAGATGTATGCCCATCAAGGGATGTGCTTAATTGGCCATAAATTTACCCACTACTATATCGATATTGTTGACCATAAATCAGGAAATAAACATACATACCATTGAAAGGTTGATGTTTTCCAATGGCACAAATCGATATGTTTGACAACACTGCCTTTCCAACTCCCATGCAGTCATCAATTCTCTCACATGTTTATGCACACAGTCTTCATCGGAGCCTCAAAGAGCCTGGAATTTAAGTGACATTGCAGAAGATGGCATTCTGGAATAGGAGTCCTTTTAAAATAGTTGCGATGATAGGAATAACCGCGGAAAGGTTAATTATAAGTCTCGACAATGAAGTACATTCTTCCAAAAAATAATGAAATTCTTGCATTAAATTTTAGAGGAGGGAGTGCGCCTGATGACATTTGAAGCTATCTTCTTGTTTTATATTCCCCAAAATACATTACAGCTAATTCAATTTCCCCATACTACAAACTGATACCTTAAGATGCTATTGTTAATTCTTCGAAATCAAAATATGTGTGTTGAAATTAGTTAATCAGTACTTAAAATTAATGAATGCGATTACGCCAAACAGATGTTATTATTGAAATTTAAACGAGCTAAAATGCAAGAGAAAGACTTTTGGCTTCCAAAATCCAGACTCGTGGCTTATAAAACCTGAATTTTTGACTTATAAATGATCAATTACAAGTATGAAGGCAACCTAACACATTAAAATGCTCAAATTAAAGCGTTGAGTATGGACTGAAGAAAGTTTTTAAGTAATACAATTCGCAAATTTTTTATTTAATTCTTGACTTCGGTAACAGACCCCTTAAAGCTCCGCCACTGTACCTTCACCGGGGAGCCCGGTCTATGGGGCGTGCTAGTAGCCCTTAAGCCTTTCTTTAGGTTGGCAATACATATTTTGCCCGAGTGTTATGTCTTCTTTTGTCTTCAGGGAATTCGCAGAGCTGTCTTTTTCGATAAAAGCGCAGTTATTGCAAGACCTCCTGCAAGGCTAAGAGACGTGCTTTTAAGTACGCCTCCAAGTATTTACTCTGGATGAACTTCAAATTTGGGCATTCAAATTGTGCATTGCAGTAATGCGAACGTGTGAACTCTTTATGCACATGTGGCATAGGCTTGGATTAGGATCGAGAATTTCGCCATTTTTGATTGATAACCGCACAGGATGCCGTCGTGACAACATTGTGACAGTTAAATTTGATGGGTCTGTTTCAACATCCCTCAGGGAGCATGAATGTATAAGAACTCACAAGCAAGTAGAAGTCCTCAAGTGGAAAAACGTTCGGAATTATGCTCAAAAATATCCATTTATGTGCCTTTATTATTTTGCAATACCTTTGATTATTTACCAGAACAGACAAAGATACAAGAATATTGCGGTCTCTGACTTTTGGTATATTTTGAGCACGTTAAAGGCGGATTGGTTCAGGATAGAACGTCACAAAATTTTCCGGACTCCTATCTCTAGGGCTGGATTTGATAGCTAGTTTGCGAGAAATAAAACAAAAAAGTATTGAGCAAATTTCAAACAAAAAAAGGTTGAATTAGAATGGCGAAATTAGGAATTGTGGTCAGCTAATATGGTTGAAGTGCCACAACGAAGACAAATTTTTACTTCTATTGCTCCATTTGAATAAGTCTCTCTTTGCTAAACCTCTCAGTCAGATTTTGTTTCCGAAATTATCTATATAGCAGCCGAAAATGCATGCTTACTTAGGAAAAGCGAATGGACAGTCCTTTGTTATTCTATGTAATTTGTGTTACTTTTGTTAGTCATTTTTTGGAAACAAAACATTAGACCCTTCTGGGAATAAAACTAACAGTAATTATTCAAAAACTACCATGTCTGGATTAATTACTTGATATAGATTAGCTCAAATCCCAGGAAATATCCTTTGACAAAGTTTTACCTAAAAACTTATAATATTCCTAAGCGCCTCAAGGGAACTAGGATGGACTATTAATTGAGTGCTTCAGTCGCTAAAAGTAGAACATTATGCAACACCATCCCTAGTGGAATCTGGGACTGAAGAATAGCACTTAAAATATCATACAAGAACTAAGGTTAATGTTAAGGTCATATACATTAAGAGAAATAGACCCCATAGACTCTACATGTAAGAGTAAGTTTTGCTACTTCTTCCCTTCTAAAACCGCACGCTCTGCAGTGAAGTAGGCGCTTGGTTGATTGTCTAGGCAAAGCGAGGAAGTTGGTGATGCAGAAAACGTAAATCAAATCACAGTCGATGGATGCGCTTACTATCATAAAGGAAAACATAATCTAACCACCTTGTGACAGATCAGTTTAAGAACACTTGTTACGCCTCCAGAAGGCGGACAGAAGGTGTGCTTTTATCTCATAGACGCTCAATTAAATCGTAACCAGGACACCTTTTAAGCTCAAAAATTTCAACTACTGTTTTTAAACGAGAAAATAACACTGTCCCAAAAAATCATGCCGGAGAAGCCACACGAGGTCTTCGACGCACTAGAATAGCAGAAAACCAAAAAATACTTGTCCTTAAAAACATTATGGAATAGTCTTGACAGCAATGTTTTATCCTAATTTTTACCATTAAGTGGAAATTGTTATAATCCAGAAAGTCGGCCAATTCTATCCTCTGTCCACTCAAAAACAGCAGCAAAGGAAAAGTTGTTTACAAACATGTTCAAGTCATCTCGCAGAAAAACCAATCAATGCAAAGCATGATGCTCATTGGATGCACGGTAAGACGCAAGGCCGGCACAGCCTGTGTACGTGACTGGTTCGTTCAGCCTACCACTTGATTGGTTATCGAGGTAGTCAGCCGTTCATTTATACAGCGCTTGAAACCACCGTCGGCTGTTCCACACGCAAAAGCGGCTGGGGCGCAGATTTTTCTCTCATGATTCGTTTAATTCTACAATTTGTCTCAGAATAACTTTCTAGCGAGTACAACCAGCACCCATACACCTCCCTGAAATTAGATGGTTTCGGAACTCGGTCTTATCTATTCGGCAGGCAGACATTGGACCGGCTCTATGATTGAATTGGGCTATGGACACCGTGAATCAACTTTCAAAACAACTCGTAACTGGATGGCATCAGTAGACGAATCTACCTTTTCATGCTTGGCTCGTCGCAGGGAGGATAATGGAGATACTCAACGAGAACTAATCACCAGCGGGTTGATTCTCGAGCAATTTCTTGAAGCCACCTCCAATTCAAGCACCTCCTGCGGTGACGTTCCTGATGGCTCGGCCAGTAGATGTGTCTTACCCTCCTCCATTGCGCGTTACCTGCTAGAGATAATCAAGGAGAAAGCGGGTTTTCGGCACTCCCTCACAAGCCTCCTGCCTACAGAGATACAAGAGTCCACTCAATGCTACGTTGGATACGAATTTCGTCATCGAAAAGTGCGCTGTCGCAGCTGTGAGCCACAGAGCAAGGGCCCTCAGCTGGGAAATCCCACTCTCTCCTCTTTTCTGTTTGAACGTCTCATAATGAGTCGGCAGGAGCAACAGCGATGCCCCATTTCCCCACCGCGAAAACGCCTTTCGCTATCAGACTCAGAAATATGCTACGCAAAAGACTTAGCAGGATCCACAGAGCACGAGCCTGTGAATTGCAATAATACCAAATCATCCCAAAAAAGTTCAGTTGAGAGCTCTTTGAAGACTGTTGAAGTGGCTGCTTCTCCAGAAGAACCGAAAACTACTCCAGTTTTCGTTGCAAAGGAGGAGATAACGGGGACAGAGGAGGTAGTCAATGAAGCTACTTCGTTAGACTCCCCACCAGTTTCAAAGGAATCAGAGGCAACTTTGTTTGAGGCTCTGCCAACGGAAGTTCCAAAGACCTCCAAAAAAAAGACCGTGAGATTTGCAGATGATATCGGTGATGCACTGTTCCAGGAAAGAGTGATCATAGACACAGCTCTTCCGCCAACCCTGCATCTAGAACGGCCATTCTGTAGGTTATGTTTCGACTATTATTTGCTTAATTAATAATCATGAACTTTTGATATACAGATTGGACATGTCTCACTTCAAACATAAGCCAAAACCAGTCGAGTGCTGTTTGACATCTTTTTCAAGCATGAAGAAAATTATGAGCAAACATTCCATTCAAGATTGTTGCACATGATCAGCAATCGTTAGAGCGAGACACGTGGCATTGCTGCGTAAAGAGGTCAACTTCTACTTGCTGAACAGTGGTTCGGCTTTTCGAAGCAGACTAGAGCCCGATTTAGCTTGGTTACGGTGATAAATTACTTGGACAACCACAATTTCATCAAAGTGCCAACCATTCACCCATGTATTTTTCCAAACCCAAAACTGATCTCTCGTGGCATGACTTTTTACATGGACCAAATGCGTGTTTTTTAAAAGAAAGTAGGCAAAGTGGGTTCGTAGATTTGGATGGATTGTTGGTTGTATCAAATACTAGCTAGTGCTGTAATTAAATGCGGATGCTTTGCAGCAAAATTTATCTAAAGACGTAGTATCTCACTCGCAAATTCTTTATGGAAAGGCTATTCAGTTTTAGATGAGGTGCCTTTCCATTTTTTGCTAATTTTTCATCACGTTGACAATGGGTGTTTGGTTGGAGTTCAGAACAAGTCTCTTCCATGAAACGATAGAAAAGTGAGAAAATGTTTTTAGAGAAGCGGCACATGAAGACAACTCAACGGCTCTAAGACGTTACTGCCTTAAAAGGTGGTTAAAAACGCCACCCAAATGATAAGATTTGCATATAGAAATGCCGCTGCAGATGCACGCTTTAATTCTTTATGAAAAACCACCACATAAATTCACTTAATCTCGTCTTTTGGTTACGATTTTTTGTTTTCTTTAATTATTATCAAAGATTGTAATTGCAAACTTTCGTGAATACGGTCTTTAAGTATTCTCATACATGTTCAACGGGAAACCTAAAGGCCGAAATAAGTGGCCAGCCGTCAAAAAATTCTGAATAATAGATAGTGTCTGGGGGATTTATTGATAGTAATGTCGGAAAGGAGATATAATTGAATACGAAGCGCTTTGGATGTCAACTGCTTACATTGGAATTTGTTCTCATTTTCATTGTTAATGAATTAGTTTTAAATGCATAAATAAAAAAATTACCGAAATCCAAATTTTAGCATTTGACGATGATTTTCGGGATATGGGCGATCTAGACGATTCTTTGCGGGGAGTTGTAAGACCTGTATTCAAAGCGTTGGGTCCGAAGCATAACAGCCTGCCAGACATCATGAAAGTTCCTCCACCACTCCCGAAGCTTCACCACTCTAACAGCTCTAGTGGAACTCTCACTCTCAGCGCTCTAAAGTCCCCACCCAGTCTAACCTCACCAACCAACGGTGCTGCCAATTGGCGTCTCACGTTTGCTCAACCTGCTGCCCAGTATTTGGCCTTTCGTCAGCGCCTAGAATCCAACTACGTGTCTCTTGAAAATGTCTCCATGGCAAACCAAAAGGGTGGCAACGACAACCTCTACCTCTACGGTACTATCAAGGTGAAGAATATCACTTTTGAGAAACACGTCAAACTTCGTGTCACTTTCGATCGGTGGGCTAGTTACAAGGATTACCCAGCTGTTCACAATGCTCAACTTTCTGGCAGCAGTGGCAACCCTCCCTATGACACATTTATGTTCAACTTCAGTATTGAGGTTTCCAAAATGCCTGAACCTCGGGAGCTTCAATTCGCGGTTTGCTTCCAGGCCGGACCGAACGGAAGTAATGGAGAGTATTGGGATAACAATGACGGCTGCAATTACGTGGTGGTGGAGGAGGCCGTTCTGATGCCGTCGCAGCTACTGGGAAATGAGGAGTTTTTTCGCAACCGCCCATCGAGGGGTACGGGGGAGAGCCCTATGCGGACTGCGGTGGGTGGTACTGAACGCTCTCCTTTCTACTCCAGTCCGCCTGTCACCGTCTACACACAGGACTACCGGCCAAACTTCAATGACTTCTCCTCCCTCACATGCTACTCATCTTGGCAACACTACGCCTCCGAGTCAATGTACTACTAGAAACCAGTGGAGTTGTCCCAAACGAATCTCGTCTTTTTCCACCCTCTCTCCTCCATCTAATTTTTTTCGTTCGTTCGCGCTGAAGCGCTGTCTTTCATTCATTTGCTAATCCCAATAAACTCTTACCGACTTCGTTCCCACTCATCCTCTGAAAAGTAACACAAAGAAGAAGCCGGTTTTGTATGCTGTATTTTAGGAGCTTCAAAAGAACCATCGCCATGTGTCAAAAATCTCGCCCCCCTCTCTCCATTTGACGGCGTTGGCGCGAATCGTGGCTACGTAACAGGGAGAAGGATGAGAGGTGGGATAGGGAGGGAGTACGTGATGCCGCCCTCTTGCAAATAAGCGCATACACTTTTACACCTTCGCAGCGTAACGCACACCCATCACCTACTGACAAATACGGACACACACCCGATCAAGCACGTACACATATTTTTATAATTCATCATGTAGAGTTTTTACTCAGCTCCACACGCACACCCACAAAGGTACACACACAGTTGTATACGGACCGCAAAAATTTCCCCTTTCTGCCACCCCGTCTGCCAGTCACACATACACACAATCCACATGATTTTTTCATGCTTACTAATTTCAAAACCATGAGTCTACTTTTGAGACGAAATACAATGTAATCTTTGCTATAGGCGGCAGTGTTTCCTCTACTTTGTAGTCTCGGTGGCTGTTGACTAAATCAGAGAGGAAACAATGCATAAAAACAGCCACACCAAATTCGTTTGTGGCTAAACAGTGGGAATACGTGTAGTTAGTGGAAAGCTGTGATGGCAGGGAGATGCGAATACCTTGCTGCTTCTTTGGGAATAGCATGTGGTCGATTCCTAGAAAGTCTTGCTGCGTATGTTGACGATTGATAGTGTTTATCAGATTCCAAACACTTTAACAAACGAGGCAAATTTATTAGGAATCATACAAATCTCAAATCAGGAATGGTTTTATCGGTCTATTCAACTGAGCTTAATTATTCAATTGACAAAAGGGTGGACTGTATATGCCTAATCCCTCATTCATATTACCATAACCTCGAAAATGAATTTAGATACTCTAGCATTTCGCTGTTTCCTCTGCTGTAAAAACATTTAAACTCCATCTGAAGCTACTTTTATTTTTTTGCGCTTTACTATGACTAAGAAATAATGCGACTGCCGATGCAATTGTCTAGCGTATTTTTATAAGATACAATAATTATGTTTGTTGCTAATGCGGCAGGTATTTCGAGTGTCAACAACAGAACACTGGCTAACATCAACAAATACTCTTTGCCTTAAATATCACGAGGGGAATATTACTCTCAGCTCAGTAAATACTAACCCCCAAAGTTTTGAAATTGGCCTATTCCAAGGCTGAGTGAAGAAGAGGGAATCACTCAGTGTTACGCTGCGAAAAGCTGAGATCTTTTCTAACGTAGAGGGGGGACTTTATAGCATACGAGGCCTACACTCATCCGCTCTAACGCTCACGTTAGAGTAAAATTATTTGGAGATTTATACATTTGAAGACTCGGCTGTAAGATCAACTCCGAACTTGTCGGTTATAAGTATTTGTATCCATCAGTATTGGCGATATTTATCTAGCCTTTGTCTCTTCATTAAAGTTTTACAAGAAACAAAACTCGTAATCATAAACTATGATTATTACTACTTTATAGCTATGATATTCGTCAACCACGCGATTTCATCAGTTCATTTAAACCCAAACCGTGAGTCAGTTGTTGGTTGTTAATTGCAGTTATGCATACGAACGGACACAGTATACATCCGTTTATTTCATCATTTTTGTCCTGCTAGGTTTATGCAGGTACCAGTTGGAATGAACAAAAATTGGCAGTTATATTTGTGACCTCGATGTTCTGTTATATCCTCGCATGGTTTTGAATACAGCCTAGTTATTAGTTCCGTTATAAAATCTAAATGCGTTATTTCTTCATGTTACTAAATTCGAGTGTAACTTTAATGAATTGAGTAGCTTCGGCGAATCAGCTTCATAAAGGATAAGCCATTCTGCTTAAGCGAAGGATGATCCATTCGGACTTTAACGATTTTCATGAACTCCGCTCCTAGATGGAATACCTTCTGCATCAATTTACGCTATTAATAACTAATAAATGAGGAATGATATTCCATTGTTTTAACATAAAAATTTGAAGAAGTTGTGTAATTAAGTGCAAATATTGATTTTGTTTCTGTCGAATAAAAGTAAGTAATTTGCCCCCATCTTATTTTGTCATCTATTGAACAGAACTGCATTGCACACAAAATTGGCATTATTTCCAATCAAGAGGGAGAATAGTATACTTCAAGGAAAACGTACTTATAAACTACTCCTGGCAAAAGCATCATACACGATAGAAAGTGACCTTTAATCAAGACTACATCTCCTTAAGGTTTAGAAATTTTCCAAGTCTTGCTTTTGTGCACGAACCTTAATCTTGCCAAAGACTTCTATTTGCTGTGCAGAGCACCCACACCTCACGGCATTGATAAGCTTAACTGGGCTTGAAACAAATAAACATGCCTGACCCATGAGGTAAAGTCACGAGGATTGCATTCAAGTATGGATCAGGCCGATCCTATGCCTCATCACTGACACTAGATATTCTTCACGTGGTGAAAATAAACACTCACTTCACTTTAGTCTTTGAATTTTACTTATCATTCATTATTTCTAACGGTTGATTTTGCATTTTATGGAAAAAGGGAAGCCCATGAAAATTTGACATTTACTTCAATTGCAGAGGTTATCTTTTAAAATACTGTAAACAACCCTCTTGGTATTTGAAGTTCCTTGCAACTAATTAAGCCATCAGCTGTTAAATTTTTTACTAATTAGTCTTAAATGCCAATTATGATACCGTTTCTGATATACTTGGGCCACTCAGCAGATTTACAGTAAAGCTGTCAAGACATTTTCCTCGTGCTCATATTCACCTGGCATCGTTCCTTGGTTCCATATCAAGGTCCGGAGTCGATTTGTACCAAACAAGAAAATTGGTTAAGAATTCCATGGAGGCTGCAAGAAATGCTTTGTTTGGATAAAATTGGTTCAGATAATTCGGTTTATGAACTCCATCAACAGGGCCACAAACTGGTGCTTTTTAGAAAACCCTAAACCAATTTGGATTTTTAAGTGAAGGTGAGGAGGACAAGACACTTGAATTTAACATTATTATAGACAGTCTTTTTATTCAGTTTTTATTTAAAAATAGATAAAATATTAGAAGCACAGCAAAAAGAAAGTATACTGATTAAACACAGGTGTAGGTAAATCAGTCCTTTTAACCATAAAAAGGGAATGAAGTGATGACCTCACTAATCTTATCGTAAAAGTGACCCAGTTGAACTGTACTACAAATCAAAGTTAATAACCACTTAAAAGATTTATTGTTTGTGTAACACCCGCGTTTGGCAACAGGCCACTCAGGGTTCCTCTATTGTGTCCTTGGCTGGGGGCCTGGCCTCCGGGGTGTGCCATTAGCTCCCAAGCCCTTCTGTAGGTTGGCAATACATATCCTGCCCAAGAGTTATACTTTCTTTTTTCTTTGGAAAAGTCTCGATGCGCTACAATATAACAAATATATGTGCATAACTTTAATACTTCATAGCATTTTCGTCACAATTTCATCAGGTTCTTGGGAGCTGAAATTCCCGCTATTTCGTGCTGATCCAGAAAACGATTTATTAGTTTATCTGTGAACTAACTAAAATACGGAAAATACATGTACAGCGCGGATTTTTTGGGAACAGATTTTCTCCTGTAGATATTTTCCGGAAAAAGACTACCTTAGCATAAATCGTGAAAACAAAACAAAAAGTTAGTAAAATATGGGTAAAATAGCATTTTGGAGGTTTTAATGAATGTCTTTAACAATTACAGAATTCTGATGTATTCGTGCCTACGGAGCACGTCATTAACCTGTAATTTGAAATGAAGTCATTACTTACTTTTGTAGTGGGGTTGCAGGATGCTGCTCAAAAATGCAATTATTTGGAGACAACCGCTGTGTGAAATGCGTTGGTAAACATTTATACACCACCTCTCTCAAAGATTCGCCTCTGGTATCTACATGACAGCCGAGAGCACGATTCATCGTTGATATAAGGCCCTGAGGTGGCACAAATTTTTTGCCAAATTATCCCAACGTAAAGCTGGATATTCCTTAAAACTTTTTATGCCTATGGAAAGGCAATGCATCATGAAATCATGGTTTCTACGTAGCACATTTAGAAGCCACTAAGTATATTGAGCGGGCCACCTACATCTCATCAACACTCCTGAGCTTCACTACCGTAAAACATTTGCAGTCATCGCCAGCAGCTGGATTTGAACTACGGTTGGGACCTTTGGTCAAAGGAACTACGAACTGGCTCGCCAATGTTTGCTTCTATTCCCCTTTGAGATATTAAATAATTTGAAATCGGTGACTGTTACCTTTTGCATCCAAAATCGGCTCAGGACACCAGTCCTATGTAGAACGTCCAGAACTTGCAAATTGGGGTCAAAAGTACCGTATTCGGTTTCGTCCTGCCAAGTATGATCCCGGAAGTCATGTCAGAAGTAACCCATCAGTTTGATAAACCTTACAATGGGCACAAATCAAAGAAGCCATTAACATTCCAAACCGCCTTTAAAATTGATGGCGCAACTCGCAAATTTTGGAACCAGGTAAGTGAAGCAGAGTATTTTAAAGATGCTTTCAAATGTGGGTATTGGATTTGCATTCTGTTTTATATTGTTGGAAAAGTGAACGGTAAAACCCGATTTGTCAACTAAATTGATTATTTTCTGAAAAGTGAAAAGGCTCCAGTATTTTGGCTATGCAGGTGCAGACAAATGGGACACGAATTCCGGTCCAATAATCTGGGCTTCTTTGGTACAAAAGCGTTCATTAAAAACTTTTCAGAATAATCAAATATTATACTGACTGAAGAGTCTTGTGGGATGAAGATTTGAAAAAATTAATTGTTTCCATCCATCCCAGT